TGCAATTGAATATTTCTTTTATTTTATATTACTAAGTTAGTTAACTCCTTATTTTATTTTCTTGAAAAACTATTAATTGATTCAATAAACTGAAATATGTTACCAACTGAATAAATGTCCACTAATGAAAGACTCGAAATTGAGAAACGGACTACAATCAGTTATACAGGATTCGGCAATAGTGCGTCGGGCATCTGTAGCTCCTAGAATAAAAAAAAATAGAATTTCGTTTAAGTGCGAACCTAAAGTATATACAAGGATGTATTTCAGAAAAATAGTTTAACTTCTCTAGGGTGGCTTAAAAAAGTGTCAGTGGATCGGGATAATTTTTTGAAATGGAAAACCCTGTATATTATTGCATTTTATGAGCGGCTAATTCACAAGATGCATTCCATTTCCTATTGGTCGAGATATTTTGAGGTTAGGGTTAGGGCATTGTTTGTTGTTTTTAGTTATTTGGCGGGTTGGTTAGCGTGGTTATTTGGAGGGTGTTAATTCATTAGTTATTATTTTTTCAGATAAACGTGAATTTAAGGTAATAGTCAGTTAATTTCAAATTCAAACACAAAATATAAAATAAACACCGAAATCGAAAATAAATAACAACCCTATTATAACACTAACCTCAAAATATCTCGACCAATAGGAAATGAAATCCATGGAATGCATCTTGTGAATTAGTCGCTCGTTGCATTTTTAGCTTCCTTTCAGGTCACTTTATATAGGTAATCCCAAGATATGAGTAAATATATTTCGATAATTTCGGAGATATTGATAAATAAAAAATATATATTTTTCACCTTTAAAAAAAATATTACAAATACAAGAACTTGTCCTGAAATCAAAACTATATTAGGTGTTTACTTTAGATGGCCTATACTATGGTCTATACTATAAATATGGTAATCATAAATCACAGAGGGGATTTAAAGAAAACTCAATGAAAATTTCTTGGAATTAGTGGAGCAAGTAAAATTTGAAAATTGACATAGTTTGACATAATGTTTTTAGTTGTATATAAACAACAATGTGAATCTGATTCAGAGGCTGAAAGGCCAGAGAAAAACTGTGCCATTTGTTGTTTCTATGATATAGAGAGAACCCACTAATCATTTTAATGACTTCTTTCTGTCTAACAAATGTTAAAGGTTATTCAAAGAAACAGAAAGACAAAATTGAGTATCCAAATTTTCCATTTGCACTAGGACCTGTTCCTCATGTTATAGGTGTATTACTAGAAGTTCAAGATGGTTTTACGAAGTTACTGTTGATTTTTATGTTTCTGGGATAGTCGAGCAACGAAGGAATATTGAAAAAAAGCATAACACCCAGTAACATCTTTTAAGCCAGATACAAGTACGTAAAATATGTACCGCTTGTTTATCCAAAGCCACCACATCTTTCCCTAACCCCTCCCTATCAAGTTGGGACTACTAAAAATTTTTGTAATTCTATACTGTAATCAAAGTGAAGGATTTAAATAATTGAAAAAAGTTTTGCTACAAATCAGTGATGCCAAACTTAAAGAGAGTATTTTTATTTCGCCTCAAATAAGAAAGCTCCTTAAAGAGCTCGCTTAAAGAGAAACTCAGACAAAAAGAACTAAAAGTTTGAAACTTCCTTGTAAATGTAGGTTCTTAGGTAATAAAAAAGAAGAAAACTATGAATTACTTCTATAAAACATTAGATGCCTATGTTCCTAAAAATTCTTTTTCTCCACTTGCATTTGAATCTTTTCCCGAGAATTTTGGTCAATGATGAACAAGGAGAAATATTTCACACGATGTCAAGGACGTTGGGATCCAGTTATTATTCCTACCAGAAACGCGTATAAAAAGGCGAAAATAAACCAGCGACTATGGCTTGTTAATTATTTTATTTTTAATTTTAATAGTACAGAATCTGGTATCATTAACCATTGTCACCAATGTTTTTGAATTTGCCAACCTGTGTTATTAGAACTACAGAAAAAAATTGGATTTAGTACAATTAATTGCATCGTTTGTAGTTGATAATAAGCCAAAAAAACAAAATATTTACTTTAAAGCGGGTTCCAACGTGACGGAGCTACAAAAAGGACCATATGGGTTCGGATACGATTCCACAAGTTAAGGAAATGCATTTCTCGACGATTGAATGGCGCTGCAAGCCAAATGGCGGCCACGATGCACTATAGCAGGCGCGCTCTATAAAAGTGGATATTTTCGTAAGAGCCACCACATGTGCTTCTTATTATCATTCAGCAACATGTGGTTTACCCCTCGACCGGAGACCGTTTGATAGCGGCCTCGACTTGCTTTATTTTTAGTATTCCTTATGTTTGTGATGCAGGTATGTCATTATTTGGTGGTTAATGTGCGACCGTTACAAAAATTACTATGCCAATGACTTTGTAAAAGAAATAAAACTTAAATAAATAAAACCAATGTCGAACCGCTATAAAATTATTTATTGGTAACTGGTTTTGGTTATTTAGCCATCATCAGATCTTTGACAAAATCGCTGTTTGTTTGATGAATGCTTTAAATAAATAAATGCCTTTATTGCCAAAAAAATTTACAATTTGTAGACAAAGGTAAAGAAAACAAACAAAGTAAACAAACAAACAAACAAAAGAGAATACAAAACATTATACAAATAACATTGTCAGTCTTACTGTTAAAAATAAACATTTATAAATGTTTACAATGTCAAAGAACAAAAAAATAAAAATAAGATTCAAAAATATTTAGTAAGTTTATACTAAATATCAATGACCTCTAGATGAATTTACCTCGATGTCATTGATTGGTAAATATAGTAATAGCAAACTTTAGACAAGTGTTTACAATATCAAATTCGATTATCAAAATATAAGTCATGTATGGCCTAGAAAGCCGTGCCTAGTAAATAAGATTTCAATGCTTTGCGAAATTAAGAAAATGACGTTATGGATTTGATTTAAAATGGCAGGTGATTGTGCATTTTTTCGAGTGTATAATATTGAACTTTTAACTAACTCTGAGCGTGGGGTAGGTAGATAAAGATCTTGCTCCGCGTTCCTGAGTGGATAAGTGTGAGATGGCCTTTCTTGAAAAACTGATATATGCTTACTTATTAGGCAAACGGATTCAAGTATAAATAAGGAAGGAAGAGTTAATATTTTTAATATTTTATAAAAGTCCTGGTAATGAGTTCTGCTGTTTAGTCCCAGTGAATATCGAACAGCTCTCTTCTGGAGCTTGAAAATGCGGTCAAATTGAGTCACACAACACGTACCCCAGAATGGAAGGGCATATCTGAGGTGCGACTCAAAAAGTGCATAATAAACAGTTCTAGCCACTGACAAGTTAAGCTCCTTAGAAACAGATCTTAATGCAAAACAAACAGAGCTAAATTTTTTCGACAAAGCGTCAATATGCATGTCCCATTTCAGAGAATTGTCTACAATATTAATATATATATATATATATATATATATATATATATATGTATGTTTGGTGATATAGCTAATTTGCTAAATAGTTTGCTAAAAAATTAAACAATAGTTCGTTTTAGCACCAGTACCAATCACTAATTCTAAAATCCTTTAGTACAGTACTGCCAACTGCCAGTTATTCGAGTCATGATTACTTCGTACAAAATACAGGATCGCTGATATGTATGGAAATGATCGATTATTTGATAGAATATATATGAGGTAGCGCAAAAAGTTAAATATAAAAGTTATAGGGTTTTTAAATGTCTATTGGCGAGTAATAAATTTAAGTATACAAGGTCGGTTATAAAGTCGTGGTACCCCAATGTTTCATTTTTTTTAAATAGAACCCCCTGTATATTATTGCCATATTTCAATTCTTCCTTCAATTCTAAGCAAAAATTGAGGTACACACAATGTACCTCAAACCAACCGTTTCTGAGTTATTGACTTTTGAAAATATCACTTAACCAATTCGATTTAATTAATTTCGATGTGTTTTTTTTTCATTTAACGATGCCATTCTGCGGAAACTATGATACTTAATAATATTTGACATTAGTTTTCAAGTTAGCATTTATAGATGTATAAAATGAGATTATATCAAGTCTGGAAATTAAAAAAAAATCTTTTACATTTCAAAATTAAGACTTGATATCTCGGAAACGGTTGGATTTAGGTACATAGGTGTATTAAAATTTTTGCTTAAATTTGAAGGAAGATTTGAAATGCCCAAAAATATACAAGTGGTTCCATTTAAAAAAAATGAATCTTTGAAGTTCCACGATTTAATGACCGACCCTGTATACTTAAATTTATTACAAGATATTAGGCATTTAAAAACCTATCTTTTGTATTCAATTTTTTGCTTAGGGGACCTCGTATACTTCGCCCAATAATCGACCATACATATCTGCGACCCTGTATATTAAACCAGATATTTTCTGTATTATCTATTGGTTCTTTAAATTTATTTTAAACAATGTTTTAAAAAACAGTCATATTACATTCACTTCACAAATTTAGCTTTATTTTTATCTTTTTTGGTGTTATTTCCTTAATATTAATTCGATAAGTTTCAGTTGTTATTATTTATATTATTTGATGCACTATTGGTGTCCCTTAAAATTCAGAATATTCTCTAAAAGAACAATAATTCTAACGTTTAAAATTTTCCATTTCTATTTCTCTTTGGATTATGACATACAAAATTAAATATTACGTCCTGAACTAACTTTTAATCGAGTGTTCGATAGAGAAGGCCGATCGAGGTGTATGTCCCGCCGAAACAGCAGCCGACTTTACCTGACGTACGGGTTGGCCGTTTGTGTTTACCGTACATGCATCGGATCGGGGGGCCCTCATGCCTTTTAGCGCGGCTCCGAACAGCTGTTGATTCCCAACCACCCCTCGTGGCAAGCCGAAAGAGAGACAGAGAGAATGGGTGGAGCCCATCCCGCGTTAGCTCGTGCCACATGCCAAATGTTAAAATTAGACCGAATTTCCAGTCCATTCTCATTCCCGAATTCAAACAGCACGCGTCCCTCCTTCCTCTAAGTCGCGAACACTAAATTGAAAACATCCGGTCTAGCCTCAACCGTGTCGATTACAGTTTTAGCGGTCGCGCCCGTTCTAGTGACTAATTCTTTAAGTGATCCGAATAATGATTTAAATTTGTTTTAATTAAACACGAACAATATATACCATGTCCCAAGTCAGTGTAGTGCATTACAGCACGCCTCCTCAGAAGATTAACAACGTGCTTCAACAAAACACGAACTCCAACAACAATAAAACCGGCGAAAGGCAAATTATAGTGCTCAGAAAACCTTCAACTATCCTTCCTCAACCCAAAGACTACAAGAAAAATGATATCCTTATCACAAATCCCGGCAAAAAAGGAGGACCAAAGAAAACTACTGCAAGCAAAGATTTAAAAACAAACCCTCCGCCGATAGCAGTAGCCCGACGAAATGCACGAGAAAGAAACCGAGTGAAGCAGGTAAATAATGGATTTGCCAACTTGCGACAGCACATACCGAATTTCATTGCCCAAGCCTTCGAAAATACAAACGGAAGAGGAAACAAAAAACTGAGTAAAGTAGAAACTCTAAGAATGGCCGTGGAATATATCAGAAGTCTGGAGGAAGTCCTGGCTATGGATGGGGAACCTATGCCTCATCTGATGCAAGATAACATCAGTTCTAGATCTTGTCTTTCTCCAACTTCAGTAGATTCAAATTCCCAAAGCGACTTGGCATATCCCTTTGCCATGTCACCATCAGAGGAAGACGATGATCTCTCATCAGTTGCTACGCCTCCCCCTCCTACTCAACAATTCATCAGGATCAATACGTCAAATAATACTTACGAAATAATATCAAGCAATGTCTACGAAAACTCAGAAAATCTAGATCCAATGAGCGTGGACCAACATCATCTTCTAACAGATCCAACATTGATAGACAGTAACTTAGATTTTGCTCAAGAAGACATTTCGTATCTTCAAGTTAATCCTCTACAATCTACGACCGGGTCGCTGAGTCCAGGGATGTATAGTGAAGGTTCTCTAAGTCCAAACAATGAGTCGGCTAAGTTAAGTGAAACTGTGCAACAGAACTGTTTTATTCCAGTGTTCGCCAGTGCAAAACTTGGAGAAAATTTTAATGTACAAATAAAGACTGAAATCAACGAATTGCCAGTTATATCTTTAAAATCGGAGAATGACATTGCTGAATCTCATGGAGAATTGGCCGATGTTATTAGTTGGTGGGAACAGAACCAAACCCAACAGACAAACAGTTAGCACACTTCGTTATTTAAACAAAATTTTAGGTGTATAAACGTCTATTAATTTTACAGTAAAAGATTGTTAACTGTTAGTCACCGAAAATATTTTTATACGAGCTTACACCGTTATTTTAATAAATCTCATTTTTTCTTTTCAATATTTATATCTCCATGATCTCATCAAAATAAAAATGTAAAAGAATGGTCTAGTCTGCTAGGAATTTTTAAAAAGTCTTAAAAAATGTTACTTTTTGATGTCATATAAGACTGATATTTTAATAAAAGTTTTATGAAAATAAACTACTTTTCTAAAAATACTGATGTGTCAGTTAACAGCAAGACTTGTAGTATTGTTATTATATTTGATCCGTATTTATTTTAGATATAGGCAGCTTAGGCTAGTGATAAATTTAAAGAATTTGTAAGACATTGTTAAGTTTTTCTTATGGAATTTTATAAGTAAATATATATTTTTCATACTTTTAATATATTTTTTTGTTTTATTTAAACCAGAAGAACATTAACAACCAGAGTAATAACTTAACCCCACGCAACTTAAAAAAATATTTTAACTATTTTTTGATTTTTTTTTAAACAATAGCAGCTGTTTTCCGAAGTAGAAGCAAATAGAACTGATGGTAGTCCTTTTATTAGTCAAATATTTTTCTAAAGAGCATATATTTGGTTAAAAAAAAATGATTATAAAAAAAATTATTTATGAAGATGACATCATGAAATGCACTTTTTGACATCTTGAAAACTTTATTGCACCATAGGAAATGTCAAAATTATTTTTTTATTGTCAACATATAATTTTTTTTCTTGATACATTACTTTTTAAAATTGTTTAACTAACTACTATGGCAAGTCTTATTTTTAAAGAAAAATTAAAATTAAGCTGAATTACTAGATAGATAACTTATTTAAGAATATCATCAATCATCACCTCTATATAAATTGGAGAGTAATTCATATGTAGCTTGTATCAGGTAAGCAAATTTATTTAAAATAAAATATTACTTTTTATTAAAATTTAATATTTTATTCAGAATATTTAACTTTATCTATTACCACTTGATAAAACATTTGACTGACAAATTTGCCACACTAGGATTTTTGTATCTACCTCAGGAAACGATACTATTGGTTAAAATTGCACAAAAAAACTTCCATGTCCGTATTGTTGTAAACATCAATACATATTCTTGTAGGAAATTGAACGATCTTCAAAAATGGTCTGATATAATTTTTCATTTAATCGACTCTTTCGAATGTTATTGAAGGTGTAGCAGATTTAGTTAATAACAAAGTTATTATCTAAAAAACTATATTGTCCCTTGCGTACGGCAGCTTTTCATCAACCGAGCAGTTATGGGTTCGTTTGTATTTCACTGAAGGAAGCCAAATTACACTAAAGTTGAATAGTCATAAAAACTGACTATATTGATTCAGAATGATTCCTAATTATTGCAATTGACGATAATTAATAATTATTGTTATTTCAATATTTTACCAAAGAACACTACTTGATAAATTTGACGAAAAATAGGATATATTTTATGTTTTTGAGGCTATTTCGTGATAAAATATAAAAAATTGTGGAAGTTATCATATACAATTTGAAGTTGAAATTTAACCTTCAATAACTTTCAAACGAGTCGATTAAACAAAAAATCATACCATCATACCTTTTTTGAAGGAAGTTTGATTTTTATACAAGAATATGTATTGATTTGTTAGAACGCAATAAAATTCCACAAAAGAAAATGTGTTTCGGTGCTATTTAAATGGAAAATAGCAAATCACGAATTACAATGGTAAAATATTTCACTAATTAATAATACATTAAAATACTTTTTTAAACACTGAACGCACGTTTCGCTAACCATGTGAGCATCATCATCAGATGATTTAAGCATACCGCGCACTTATGCGCAGCGCGGCGCGGCGAAGCGCGGCGAAAAACCGTGCAACGGATTAAATTTGTGTTATATAATGCACGTCCGCTGACTCAAGCGAAGCAACCGCTTGCACCGCGCGCCGAAGCGCCGTTCGTTGCAGACCTGGAATCCAAAGCGAGGAAATTCTCTTCGGCGCGCTTCGCGTGCCCTAGTGCGCACAGTGGTCTGCGGAAACTATCTCTGTTTTCGGTCATTTTCGAAATCTATTTCGGTGTCTTCGGATGAAGGATTCTACGATTAATGTATTACTAATTGGCATTTAGGTTACGTTTAATCAAGAGCCGTTTTGTTTCGTTTGAGTTTGTTTAGTACTTGTAATTTAATTATTGTTTTATCATGGATGATGAAACGTTCATTTTAATTATACAAAGTTATAAAGAGATATATGATATTGGAGATCCCAATTATCATAATCAATTGAGAAGGGACAATATTTGGGAAGAAATTGAAGAAAAATGCGGAATAAAAGGTATGAAATTTTAATTATTTCCCAAGTTTATGGAGTGGGTAGCGGTACATAAACGTAGTACGAATTTGTTGTACAGGGTGAGTGAGTGAAGGATAGACTAAAGTTCTTTGTTCATTATCTCATTTATTTTAACAATTACAACAAAAGACTACAAAGAACAAATTTTAGAGAAGTTTAAGAGATGCCCAATTTAATATTTCTTTTAAATGTAGAGAGCACATATTTTACGCAGAGATTCTGAGTAAAATTCTATAATTTTTTGTATATAGTTTTATATACCTAAAACTATTAGTTATCTATCTATACTAATATATAAAATCCTTAAGTGACTGACATACTGATTAATCACGATCCTGCTTTTTTTTCGTCTTCCAGAAGATCTGAGTGAAGGTGATGGAATTCTCCGTACGTATTTCTTTTTATATTTATATTATGAATCCAAGATTTTCTTTTTTTGTTCTCACGCATTTCTTCTTCCTCAGCTATTGTACATAAAGTAAGAAAATCTCCCTCTGAACTGCTGCTAGAACTTGAGCACATAATGAAATTTTAACACACCTTTATCAAACCGTCATAGAGATAACACTAAAATTAAAACGGTCAGCTCAAAACAACTTTAAATACCAACCGCGTACGCAAAACCGTGCATAAGTTAGCGGACCCATCAAAAATTCGCCGCGCTGCGCCGCGCCGCGCTTCGCATAAGTGCGCGATATGCTTAAGACTGTTCTGCTGATGTAAAAAAAGTATTTTAGTGAATTAGTGTTTTTTTTATCTACTATTAACTTATGATTTAACTGTTATAAAGTGTTGTTTATTTGTACATTTTTTATTGTCCTTCATAACAATGATGAGTAATAATCAGTTATTTAGTTTTTTAACATCTGCAACACATATTGTAAGTTCCTAGGACTTTATATGCTCCAACTGCCGCAACTATACCTACCTACCATTTCTACGATGCCAAATTATCTGCTTTTCTTCTCTATTCTTTAAAAAACTAAAGCATTGCTTTTTAAGGCAATATGTTATGATCTTGTTTGAGAAAATATTATTTTCTAGATTTAATCGCAGTTTACTGTTAAAAACTTCATTAGACCACAAAATCATTTGCAACAAAATCGCAACTATATTAATATTGGTTGCTTAAAAATTTAAATTCGCAGAGACAAGAAAGTCCACTCACAATTTACAAAATTAATTAAAAACCAATCGCAGGTTGCGATTTAATGCGAATTAATGCGATTGAATCGCAGTTTACGATTTTTTACTCACATTTACAAGCTACCATACGATAAATAAAAACGGCGTCAAAGACGGCTGAGGAATGACGATCGTTGATAATTTTGAGGTCAATCTACTCACAAATCTATTTAAAAAAAAATATTTTAAAGTACACCATTTAAAAATAATTTTTATTAATTACCAAGTAATGACTTCTAGGGCTTGACCTCGCCAAAATTATCATCGATTGTCATTACCCAGCCGTCTTTGAGGTCGTTTTTTTCGATGATCTAGGTACAACTAGCAACGCAAAACTTTTAAGACAGATTCAATGCTAGCAAATCATGGGATAATTTCCAGTCTCATTGTGCCTTCTTGTACCTGAATCGTGAAGGAAGGTAAAAAATCAGACCGCGATCTATATATTTAAAACAAACAAATCTATTTAAAAAAAAATATTTTAAAGTACACCATTTAAAAATAATTTTTACTAATTACCAAGTAATGACTTCTAGGGCTTGACCTCGCCAAAATTATCATCGATTGTCATTACCCAGCCGTCTTTGAGGTCGTTTTTTTCGATGATCTAGGTACAACTAGCAACGCAAAACTTTTAAGACAGATTCAATGCTAGCAAATCATGGGATAATTTCCAGTCTCATTGTGCCTTCTTGTACCTGAATCGTGAAGGAAGGTAAAAAATCAGACCGCGATCTATATATTTAAAACAAACAAATCTATTTAAAAAAAATATTTTTAAAGTACACCATTTAAAAATAATTTTTACTAATTACCAAGTAATGACTTCTAGGGCTTGACCTCGCCAAAATTATCATCGATTGTCATTACCAGCCGTCTTTTGAGGTCGTTTTTCTGGATGATCCAGGTACAACTAGCAACGCAAAACTTTTAGAGACAGATTCAATGCTAGCAAATCATGGGATAATTTCCAGTCTCATTGTGCCTTCTTGTACCTGAATCGTGAAGGAAGGTAAAAAATCAGACCACGATCTATATATATTTAAAACAAACAAATCTATTTAAAAAAAATATTTTTAAAGTACACCATTTAAAAATAATTTTTACTAATTACCAAGTAATGACTTCTAGGGCTTGACCTCAAAATTATCATCGATTGTCATTACCCAGCCGTCTTTGAGGTCGTTTTTTCGATGATCTAGGTACAACCAGCAACGCAAAACTTTTGCTAAGACAGATTCAATGCTAGCAAATCATGGGATAATTTCCAGTCTCATTGTGCCTCTTGTAAAAATCTGAATCGTGAAGGAAGGTAAAAATCAGACCGCGATCTATATATTTAAAACAAACAAATCTATTTAAAAAAAAATATTTTAAAGTACACCATTTAAAAATAATTTTTACTAATTACCAAGTAATGACTTCTAGGGCTTGACCTCGCCAAAATTATCATCGATTGTCATTACCCAGCCGTCTTTGAGGCCGTTTTTTTCGATGATCATATGGTACAACTAGCAACGCAAAACTTTTAAGACAGATTCAATGCTAGCAAATCATGGGATAATTTCCAGTCTCATTGTGCCTTCTTGTACCTGAATCGTGAAGGAAGGTAAAAAATCAGACCGCGATCTATATATTTAAATATCAGATTTATATTTTGCTATTAAGATTTATTCGGGGGTTAGTTACCCCGATAAGGATTAGATCTTGCCATGGGGCCCTATTCTGT